TCTGCCGGGTCGTGGAGAGACGATGAGGGGGGAGGGGGCGAGTGTTTGGAGTGATGGAGAAGATATTTCGGTGTGGCTGTGCTCTGGTTTTATGGAATAGCCTCTCGACCCGGTTAAAGCCGTAGAAATGTTTTGAGAGTGGACTTTTATAGATCTCTGACCCCCTGCCGTTATCTACTCTGTATTTGTAATACTTTAAGCGTATGTGCTCAAGAGGTTTCCGCGCTAATCGGCCCTATGTAGATTCACTTAGGCTTATTTTAATGAACTCCTTCTTGTACATTTCCAAGGAAAAGCAAGCGACTTTACACAATGGTCTCTGCTGCGGGCGAACGTTTGCCAAACAGTCGCCGTGACCCCTGGTCAGGAACCAAAAGGTTCGTGTGTACTACGTTGAACTTCTTTCGCACCGTACGTAGCCAACCGTGCTAATCGGAGTATGGGTGAGTGTGTGTGGGTGAGTGGCAATGTGAGTGGGTGAGTGACTGTGTGAGTCTACGTACGTACGTTGAACGTCTTTCACACCGTACGTAGCCAGCCGTGCTAGTAGGGAGAAGAGACATTTTTTTATATTCTCGTAATTCGTTAAATAGAAATTTAAAACAACCTCAGAATTTCAAACAGCCGCCAATTCACTTGCGGTGAATGCGAGACGGTGGGCCCTTTGCACGTAATCTCACGAAGCAACAGGTCCCATAAACAGCCAGCGCGTAACAGCTCCAGGAGCCGCATGTTGCCGACCCCTGGCCATGACCGACACTGCATGGTGGGGGGAGAGCGGAGGTGGGGGGGGAAGCCTTTCATCCAGCAGTGGATTGACACGCGGCTGCGAGCTTAATTTTGACTCGATCGCATGGTAACGCTCTCTCGCGGTTGCTCGTACGCACAAGTGAGCGCTCGCCCACACGCTCGCACACTCCGGAGATGTCAAGGCGCGTGTGGTTGTACAGTGGCCGCGTGTGTGCACCACGCCCGGCCGCCTTTGTCTCCCCAGTGGCGATGTTGACACACCGCACCAGGTACTCGTTTGAGGCCGAGGTGACCTAGGGGAGGCCCAGGACCGGTTCAGATATTCGTCACTGTCGTTGGCCGTGAGCGGAAATCGAGCCCGGGGTAGCCAGGTTCGCAGCGCAGTGCACCAATCGCTGCGCCACCCCTCCACACGCACGCACACGCATGCACACACACAGACGCGTGGCTCACAGGTGCGGTCACGGCTACGGGTGTTACATGCGTGGGGCTCTGAGTCACTCGACCTCAGCCCGAAGACGTTGCAACTTGCGGGGGCTCCGCCGTTTCCAGCCAGCCGCCAGACTAAAACACGTAAAGAAAGAAATAAATAAGTCCACGTAGTGTCTCGTCATGTTGTTGTTGTTGTTGTTGTTTTCCTCCCACTTTCTGTTTCAAGGTGACGTTCTGTCGCCACTTTGAAAGGGTTTAGCCAGAGATCAATCGATTTAATTTTTGGTCCGCGTTTTGGGCAACTGAGAAAATGGGAGACGTCTTCTGCTTGGTACAAAGGGCAGCAGTTTGGGGCGTTTGGGTCGATTCGATTTTGGTAATCGGTTAGCACGAAGCAGTAACCTGAATGGAGTTGAGCCAGTTTTTGCGAGTTGCCCGGGTCAGGGATTTTTCGTCGTCTGCTATGGGTGGGGGCCAACCCTCTAGCACGACATTGGGGGCTTGTAGACGTTCGGGCAGTGCACGGTGGAAGCGGTGTGCAAGTGGTTCAAAATTAATTTGCTGGTGCTATTTGGTGGAAGAGCGTTTAAAGTCGATTGCACGTTGGCAGAGCTGAAGGAAGGCAAGGTGGATTTCATTTTCCTAGAAGGTGCATGGGCTCTGAGTAGCTGTGTGCAAGGATGCGTTGTCGAGTGGCATGAAGCCAGATATTGATCGGTGAGAAGCTTGCAGTGTTCTTGAATCGGAAGAACTTTGGTTTCTTAGTGGAGATGATCAATGGGCGCCATGAGGTGACATTCTGTGGCTAGGCGAAGTGCTTGGTTTTGGGCGGTTTGGAGCTTTTGGTAACCTGTAGAGGAGAAGTTTGGGCATATTTGATGATGGGGCGTCCAATGCCTTTGTAGGTTAGGAGCAAAGTCTCCTTTTGTTGACCCCAAGATGTGCCGGCTAAAGGTCGTAAGATGATATTTCGTTTGTTAACTTTTGCATGGACGTTTCTGCCGTCTTGAGCGAAGCTGAACATGGTGTCAAAGGTTACACACCTAGAATTCTGGGGGTTTTTGCTAAGTGGGAGGCGTTGGCTGTTTATTATGATGTTGGGATGTAAGTTGGCTTCATGAGGATCAGGTGTGATAAGGGTGATTGTTGATTTGGATGTTGAGAGTTGAAGCGATCTATTGGCTAGGGAAGAACCCTGGATGTTGTTGATGAGCGTGAGGTGGTTAACGGTGTCGAAAGCCTTTGTAAGGTCAAGGTAAGCGACGATAGAGTGGGATGGGGGCTTTTTCTCATTGAAACCGTTTGCAATTTGGGTGGTTAGGTTGAGAAGAGATGTTATTGTTCAGTGTGCAGTGCAAAAGCCATGTTGGTGATGATGATTGGAAGGATGAGGGCCTCTAAAATATTGATTGATGGGCAAAGTAGGGAAATCGGCCTGTAGGACGTTGCTTGATTTAGATCTTTGCCGGGTTTTGGAAGTGGGATGATTGTCGATGATTTCCAGATGGCCGGGAATGAGGTTGCACTGGAGTGAGGCGTTAATGGTGGAGGCAAAAAACTTTATGCCAAGGGGTCCCGAGTTGTTTGGCTATTTTCATAGCTAGTTTCACCTCTTCAAGGCGTCATTGGGCGGCGTCGTTTTAGAGGTAGTTCCTTGATTTGACGGATTTTTTGACGGGTGGATTTATTGGAAGAGTGTGGGACGACTGATGAGAAAAGTTTGTTGAAGTGGTTGGCGATGTTATTGTTGTTAATGACGGATTTGTTGTTGAAATTGATTGCGCAATTGGGTGGCAGTTGGGAGTGTCCATCTAAGGCTTTGATGGTCTTCCAAAGTTTTGATGAGTTTTGGCGGTGTTCAAAGATTCAACAGACTTGTGCCAGCGTTCTGTTTTGGCTCGATTGATTAGCTTTGTGATTTCAATATTGAAGGTTGGGATTTGTGGTGAACTAGGACTTTTAGTCTTAATAGTGTTTTGTTGGTTTATTAGCGTTGAGGCTTCTTTAGGGAGGCAGGGGTGGTGTGCTTGGTGGTAGTTGCAATGATGTTTCTGAAAATCTTTTCAGAGTTGTGTGGATATGGTTGATGCTGTCGGCGAATAATGCCTCCCGATTCCGAAGTAAAAAGTGGCCAGTTGGCTTTTTAAAAGTTGTGATACAGGCGGTTTTTGGGAGTTTGTGAAGGCTTGAAGGCATTGAGGGTCAACACAATCAGTAGGTGGTCGCATCCAAGGGCCGTAAAGACTTTCCAGTCGATTGATGAAAGGAGGTTTCCTGATGCTATTGAGATATCTGGTGAGGATGAAGAAGGGCCAGGTGACTGAACTCTGTTTTGATTATTTTCATTGAGTACCCCATAGGGGGGCAGCCGTTCAAGATATCGGCAAAGAGGTCGCCACGTGCATCTGAAAGGGAAGAGTGCCAAAGTTTGTTGTGGGCGTTGTAATCTCTTAATAACAATTGAGTCGTTGTTTGGTAAAAGTCGATTTATATTGAACTGATAGTTGCGAGGGCAACAACTGGTCGGTGGGATGTAGACGTTGATTATAGTGAGTGGGCCTAGATGGGATTTGATGCGGACGCTTAAGACTTCTGTGGTGATATCAGAAGGAGGCATTGGGATTTTAATTTCTTCAAATTGAATGCTGTCATGGATGAGGAAAGCTAAACCGCCACCAGCTGTTGGTCGGTCTCGACGGAGGAAAGTGAAATTTTGAAAGTTGGGCGGGCGAGAAGTGGATTTAAATTTTGTTTCTTGGATGGCGGCTATATTAATGGAGTTTTGTTGTAGAAAGGTGCTGAGTTCAAGAGATGTGTTGTTGATGCCGTTGATGTTTAGTTGAAGGATTTTTAGGTCGTTTTTGTTATGGACGTTTTGTTGTGGTTGAAACGGTGGTTGCGATGGATGAGGTGGTGGTGCTCGTGTGGTTGTGCAAGGTGGACATGTTGAAGTGGATGATGCACAATATTAGCAGAACCAGCCGGAATTTGAACTGGGGATGCGGGCTAAAGTAATGCAGCGTTTGTGGTTACCAAGCTTTACAACCGTTGCATTGGAAAGAATTTGCATCGACGTTCTTGCCGCAGCTGCCACAAGGTGACGGTGACGTCGCCACGGCGCCTGTGCCGGGCCAGGTGCGCTTGGAGGCTATCACGTGAAGTGTCAAAGGCTCGCTGACAGTAGGTCACGGGACAGACCCAGGTGCCATGGGTTTAGATAATTGGTAGATACACCAGCTAGTACCCCCTTCTATGCCAACTTGCTGCATTTTAGCAACCAGCACCACCACCACCAATACCAATACCCAGCCATTCGCCACGAAGTGACGGTGGCATCACCACTGCGCCTGTGCCAGGCCAGGTGCACTTGGAGGCTATCACGTGAAGTGTCGAAGGGTCGCTGACAGTAGGTCACAGGGCAGACCCAGCAGGTGCCACGGGTTGACTGACTTTGATGACTGGCTGATGCACCACCTGTGCCCTCTTACCCTGCCAACTTGCTGCATTTTAGCCGCCTGGTGCTCTGCTGGTTGTTGTGAGCGTCGCTCCTCTGCCCCTCTGTTGTTGTTGAGGGGCGACTGGCCTCCAAAGACCTATTGCGTCTTTCAAGAGCCTCCTCCATAGGTCACCACACATTAGCGCGCAAAGACAAAGATCCCCCGTGTAGCCTGAACAGACTGTGGGGCAAGTGCTGTTAGCGAGTGCCCATGAAGGCCGGCACGGCACACGAAGGGGTCGGTGGCCAGCACCACGGCCAACTGCCTTTGTCTCCCCAGTGGCGATGTTTACACACCACACCAGGTACCCATTTTGAGGCTGACACAGACACACACACTTTCGCATTATCCAGTAATAATAATATTAGGGCAAAGAACAACATACAATGTATTTATTTATTCCAAAACCGCACACCTTGAGTGTGCAATTCAAGGTGTGCGGTTTTCGGGCTCGTCGGTGGCTAGGAGATGTTAACTACCTCGCAAGGTATACAGGAGGTCGTGGGTTCGATCCCGACCCTGACGCCTGCTGTTTATTTGGAGTTTGCATGTCTCTCTCTCTCCCTGTAGCGATGTTAACTACGTTGCCTGGTCTACAGGAGGTCGTGGGTTTGATCCCGACCCTGGCACCTGCTGTATATTTGGAGTTTGCGTGTCTTTCTCTCTCCCCGTGGTCACGTGGATTTTCCCCTCCACTTTTATTATCAACATCACGCGTTTAGAGTATTTGGCTGCTATAAATGTCCACACGATGATAAACCACTTCACTTGGCTATCATTTGTGGCCAGGTCGCTTCTGAAACAGCTATATAGCTCGATGGGCCTTTACCTGGTAAAATCTATATATCTTTAAAGTTTAATTCTCCCCCAAGTGTTCGTATAGTACAGTGCCGGGCAATTGCTTTATATGGCTAGCCAGCCCAGAAGCGTCGCGGCTGTGTTAAGTGTCCGTAAGTTGCGGCCACGGTTTACAGAGTGAGTAATCGTGCTGCTGTAAATGTCCGCGTGACGACGATGCCCCTTTCGTCGAGTTGTGGTTTGCGAATAGCCAGC